ATTCGCATTCGAGGTGGTGTAGCGGCAGGGGGGCCGTTAGCGCATCAAGATCGGATCTCGTATTGGCTCCATCAAGAACAAAGCTTATACCCACCACGGACGCTGGATCGGTATCAGTCCTGCATGAGAGGATAAAATACTGACTCGTACATCAGTTGGCCCCCACAAGTCATTGCGTAGAACATGTCGCATGCAAAAAGCTTCAACATTTCTCAGTGGGAGTAATCCCAAAAGGAGGTTGTTCAACAAAAAAATGCTTTATTCATTTGTCCTTTTATTGCAGTTTGAAACAAATGTCACCCTGCCTTGTGGCAAAACATAATTACGGCTGACCCAAAGCAGCAATATCTCATCTAAGATTCAGCCGCAGTATATTCGAATGGAATAAGCAGCCAAACCCTCCCGCGTTTCGGGATATACAACTTCGGGGAACATTTTCCAAAAAGTTTGTTTTCGCTTATGTAAACAGGTCGTGTTCGTGGAGGTGCTAAGCCTGGAAGTTTGTGTGTAGTGAACCCACTCATTGCTTGGGTGTGTGGCAGAATCGTTACTCGCCGCGCCAGTTGGCGTCGCGCGCGACGTCAACGCGGCGCCCACTAATGACGACGATTTCAGGCGGTATTGGTCGAGAATAGGCAGTTTATGACCAAAATTGGCCCACAATATCCTTGTCTGAATAAATCCGATGCTCCATTCGAAAGGGTGTTGAGAAAAGGTCGCGTCCATTGCCGCGCGCGACAAGGCGGCACTTTACGATTCTCCTGCCTGTCTCTCCTCTTTGCTTGCCCCGCCTATCTCAAAGTGTACATTCACAAGCTGTGACGTCTCAAAACTGTCCCAGTAATTCACTGAACAAACGGCTATAGTATATGTTTTATTCAGCTCCACATGCGCATAAGCTGTTCCATATGGGTGCTGTGGTCGTTCTTCATGTGTGTAAGCCGATTGATAGAGGCATGCCGTTCTTTTGCGAAATGTCGAAGAGCCAGAAGAGAGATGAGTGGTAGTGAGACTGTTGAAAAAGGCACAAGCTGAAACCATACGTTGAACATAATGCAGCACTTGGCTGGATTGAGAAACAACTTACATAGAACCACATTCGTAACACTTCTCTCGTGATTTTGGGCAGTGCTTGACCACGCGTCCTTATCAGATAAACTGCCAGGGAATAAGCGGTCAAGAAGACGAACTGCACAGACACGAGAACCCCCACCCACTTCGTGATCAACTGATTTTCGACCGCTTGAAAACTGTTTCTAACACAGTAGCGCCACCTAAAGTTGACCAGTATGTAGTGTTCATTTACGATGTTCCCTAAAATTTCAAGGAGAAGGATCCACCCCGTTCAATTTCAGAAGCAGTGGGTACGCTGATAATTACTGGCCCCAAATGTGAATGAAGATGTGAGAGCGAAAAGCCAGCTGATTCCCTCCACAGCATGTCATCAAGTTGACTGTCATCACCGAGCACATGGCGACGTCATTAACGTGCTATTTTTTCAACGCAAGGACAATAGCGCAAGCAGGTAGAGATTGTAGTGAGTGTCGCGGCCGGAGACAAGACTGACGACGACGGGGTTCTCTACATAAACAGTTTTGAGCGAGATTTTGCCGCAAAACGATCATCCCCTCAGGAATCTAACTCCCCTTCTAACATATATATTCAGCTGACACGAACAGCCAAATTACTGCCTTTCAAAAGATAAAA